AATGGTGAGGACAGAAGTCTCAGCATTTTTCGCGGCGCATCCGATGGTAATCTTGACCTTAAGGTCAAGGTTAAGCTTCAAAGTCATATCAAGATAACGTCGTTTTTTTAAATGGCGACCCTACTTTTCGACCCCGGAAATAGAAAGAGGAGAAAATTCTCCATCCGAATATGACATTGACTGTGACATTGACTGTGACCTCACAGTCAATGGTCACGGTGAGTTCAATGTCAATTGTTGATTTGTACTGTAATTTTTTATTTTTAACTACGGTATTAGAGGGAGTGACAGTTTTTGACTAGATACCCGATGGTACTCCTTAGTGACCTTGATCTTGTAGTCACTAAAAATGGTCCCTTCTATTCATAGTCGAAAATAAAAATTGACAGCCGGAATGACCTCTACCTGACCTTGATCATTGACCTTAAGGTCACGTTTGAGATCACAATGACATGTAGAATTCCACGCTCTCTTATTTCTAGCGACGAAATAAGGAGTCGCTACTCCTAAAACCGATATGACTTTGACATGTTCTTTCGACCTTGACGGATGCAGAATTTTCTGCTCTTTCCATTTCTGGGGTCGAAATGGAGAGGCGCCATTAAAAAAAAACAACTTGATCTTGATATGACCTTGAACCTTGACCTTGACCTCAAGTACCATCGGATGCACCGTGAAAATGCTGAGACTCATTATTTATCCCAAAAATGCTTTCCCGCTGAGATTTTTGGGGGTTTCCATACTTTTGATTAACCCTATATATGAAAAAAATCGTCAAATTCGTTCGCCGCATTAAAATTTGACAGGGGTGTTTGAAATCAAATATGCACATCCTAGCCCACCCAGTGCATTTGTTCAATTGTTTCTAAAATAATTAGCTAATCAAGACATTAACTTATATTTTATAGTTATATTACAGAAAGATTAAAATTAATTAATTATAGTGGTTGAATACAATATTGAATACGTAAACAAATGCTTATTAATGAATGGAATTTATCATCACAGCAAACAGCTGCTATCTGTTTGTTAGTCACGACCGTAATTTTTTCATCGTTTTCGTAAATATGTTATTTGACTTAGGTGCGGAAGTAAACCGCGTAATTTAATTTCTGAATCAACTGAAATTATTATCGTTGTTTTGCGATTCTCAACACGAAGTGGGTTGGAAAGGAATTGTTTGCTACTTAGTTTAGACGTGGAAACAAACTGCATAACTTGATTTCCGAATCAAGCCAAATTACTATTCTTGCCACGGAAAGAGTTCGGTGGATGGAAATATTTGTTAGACATTAATTGGCAGATATTTTATAATATCAAAATATCGTCCTTACTGCCCTCTGGGAGCCATTCATTACGAATGCAAATCGAACACTAAGTTTTTGTCTTTTAATATTTCATCTTTTAATTTCATTATTGTTAAGCCTCCAGTTAATATTATTATACAGAGCCTTCACAAATGATAAGCCACGTGGCCGCCGAGCTTATGCAACCAACATTGCTGGAGTAGTATTGTCAACTAAAAATTCCTAAATCTTAGCATCACCAATATTAATGACTCGTTTACAATTAACAATGACAAACCGTTGCATCTACGTTCGACATAATACGATCGCTGATTGGTTGAATAAAATCTCGTGAAAAATTATACCAGTCACCAGTGAAACAGAATGTTGTGTTTTAATGTAGTGTTGATTTTATTGTTTTAATAAATTTTTATTTTACCGAAATTTAATTGCCAACCTGAAGAAAATAAAATTACTGTTCCAAATAATTACTGATGGGGATGTAATCATTTAGGTAGGTTCTGTAGAGTAAAATAGGGTAATATATAATACCCTTTTATTTTTTTTATTGCTTTAGAGACTAGATTAATTTATATTTATATGTAATTATAGTTTCACTTCCTGCATATGTTTGAAAGCTTACCCCCGTTTAAAAAGTTTTCTGAAATTATTTAAAGATTAATAAAGCAACACACTTTTATTAAAAAATGCAAGATGTTTGTAAATATCACTACACACAGTTTTAAGAGCACTTCTTAATTACTCTAAAAAAAACTTTAAAAAAAACTACAATCCAAAAAAATATTGTATGTGTTTATTCAAAGCATTCTTCTAGTTTACTCCCCAGTTCAACTCAATGTAAATTATTTAAGTATTTCTTTATTTAATTATTTCTACAAAATTTCTATATCCATAGATTCTAGCTCATAGCTTCCTAACTTTCTTATGTAACATTTCTTCTAAACATAATAATAATAATTAATTTTAGTAAAAATAAAATATGTAAATGGCCTATCAACTAAAATTGACTTTTCTTATTTTATGATTTTTTTATATAAAAAGAATATCTTGATACAATTTATTTTAGAGGAATATTTTTTCCACGTTGATTACTTGTACAAGTTCATTGTCTTTTTCAAACTATTCAGTACTGTCTTCTTCAAGAGTTTGTTGTTTGGCAGACGCAAATAGAAATACTTAATATATTTGTTACATCCAAAAGAACGCAGAACATAAATCGCTCACCCACTTCATCATTTACCTACATACAAAAATGTTTGTCGTTTTGTATGATGTCAACACTTTGTCGTAGGAAGCAACATATTTCATGGAATGTCCCACGATTACTACGATTCGAAATCTTGAACGTACTATTTAAAACTAGATAAATAATTATCTTTTACTGTCTGACTAATGAATCTGAGGAAAGATACTGCCTATACTTCACAAACATACGTATGAAAATTCCGCAGAAATTTTTGTGAAAAGCGAGACACTAACCGACTTAAATTAGTATATTTTACAAGCCGGAAATTGGCAGTAATTTATTAAATAAAGCAAATACAGCGCCACCTACCTAACCAGATAATTCCAAATGAGGAGGAAAAGACAAATAACTTGTGGCGCTGTTTATTTTCTCAGACTGAACTAAATTGAAGCAATTTTGCTTCCTGTAAATAATAATGCTCTCACCCTCGGGTGCCTCTGTAACTTAGGTAATAATATGGAATAATATCTTGCGGTTTTGTTAATATGGTTTTTTAATTAAGACTGTATTCAGTTGTTTATTGTTATTAAAGTAATTTTCTGACATTTGAGATGAGTGAAACCGACAAAAGATTGTATTAAAAATGTATATAATAGCAACGAAAAGATTTTATTGAATAAATGTTTTTCGTGTTGTATTTCGTACTAAGTAAACGAGTTACAACAGATTACGTTTTCGATAGTAAACCTGCTCCTCCGCCATAACTTTGAATGACTCGCAATATTTCTACATATTCTAGTTTTTGCTTTATGTTCATAACTTCATTAAAAAGTGACATAAACAGTATGAGGCTTACACTTACGTTAGCTGCTTGAAAGTAAATCTTCCTCAGGGGTCACGTATACGCCGTCGAGTTGATAAAGTACCTACGTTAATATGCAAACAAAAAGTTGATATAATTTAGAGTAAGTATTCTAAATTCTTGTAGTTATATGAAAAATTTCAAGGGAAGAGTTTCCACATAATTAAATTTCATTAACTGAGAACCAAATACATAAAAAGTCTTAGAGTGAAGTTTTTTGTTTCTTTTAATACTATTTTGACAGAATCAGGCCAAAAAATGGTTTGCTAAATTGAGAACTCACTCTGAGTGTCCCACATATTCTTAACACTGGCTTTGCAATGGTATTTCGTAAACAGTCTACAACAGGGTTGGATACTTTTATTGTGTGTAAACAAACATCGGAAGAAGTGTATAAATTAAATATCTTAATATAATAATTCGCATTAGAATGAAAATGAGTCATACACTGCAATTTATTAGGTATTTTGGTGCCAGTGAAAAAAATATTTATGCCTTAAACTAAAAGGTTCTGTCATATAGTTAATAATATATAATTAATGTATAAGATACGCTTAGATGTGAAAATTTAGAATATCTAGATATTATTGTTTCTTTTTTTTAATATTTGGTGTTACCGATGCATATCGTTGTGATGAACTGGAACAATTAAATTTGAATGATCGAATAGATCGAATAAAGTTTAGCCAATGTTTAATAGTTGTACAAACTGCAACATAATTATAAACATAAACAAATAGTTTGCATATTTGATGTGAGTTCGTTTGTCTGCGTGTATTTATCAGTATTTACTATACCTATAAAATATAGATAAAAAAACGGTTAACTTCCCAGCCTAGGAAAGTTTCCCGTACTGTTTGCGGATGGTTGCTTAGCAACGAACTAAAATACTAGAATACGATATTTTGAGGTCTGAAATTGTGCCGAAACGGTACACATTTTTCAAACAATTTCAGAAAAAATATTTTTCATGTAAAATTTTACATCCTTTCATACTTCCACCCTGATAACTTAATACTCGTATTCATATTCATCATCTTCTTGATAACATATTACACTTAAATTGAAAAGTGTGCGAGATTATGAAAATAATTACAAGAAATTTAATTTAAATATTGCAAAAGCAGGTTTATTTTTTTCCTCTTTATATTCAGAAAAACATGCGATTCAATTAAGTTCCATTAGTCTTTTGTAAGTTGAACGTATTGTGCGAGATATGAGAAATTGCGGTAAGGTTTGAAAAAGTTAATTCCATTTAAATTGCTCCTCATAAGAAATAATGAATATCTAGTATTTGGAATTAAAGACGTATTCCAACAGAATATCTCCTCTCAGACGAAAAAGCTTCATCATTCGTTTTGTGCTGTAAAATCAATACTTGTCCTCTTTGGATTCAAATATGTAGTCTCATTAATGAACTGTTATTGCAGTTTGATTACCACTGAGATATTATTACCGTTATTGACCTATTCGTTAGCCAATGAAATCGTAACTTATTGTATACAGTATATGTTACACATTCAAACCTTGGTCTCACTCATTAATTAAATAGATAGTTACATATACTTATTAGCGTAGTATTAATTATATTTATTTGACATAGTATTGTCTCCGGTCCAAGATGATTCTTTTTCCTTTGTTTCAGTCATTCCAATCGAAGTTATCGTTTAGTTCCAAAGAAATTGTAGCAATCAGCTGTTCGTGGTGTAAGGCGGCCTATCACAATAAAGAATCTTGTTTCAACATTCAACGAATAGGTGAAGAATGTAGATTAGGTAAGTCGTATACATAAATTATCGCAGCCATTATTTACCCCAAATTTCAAACTGCTTGGAAATTATTATGATTATGGATTAATAAATGTCCAACAAGCACGTGACCCCATTAGTAATTTAATGAGTTTTTGATTGAACGATACAGAAAATCGTGATAATAACATATACAATAAGATTGTGTAGTGACAGGTATCAAAATGAAACGTTTAAATCATAGAGCAAAAGCATATTTGCGTAATTTCCTAACTGTCAACATGTGCCTAACTTATTTATAATCAACAAAATTGATAATAAGCATGTTCTAGTAATATCCCTACATTAACTCCTCAGTTACCAAAAAACATTCTTGATATAAAAAGTTTCTTAAAATTGTTCAATTTCCTAAATAATTGTTATGCCAAAATTGGATAATGGGAATACTTTCGTAAAGTTACTGTTGTGTACTCGTCCTCATTTGTCGTATTGTGCCTGAAACTTTACCGTCAGGCCAAGTATAATATAAGGTATAAACACTGAATCAAATTTTCACTGTCATATTTTTTTTTGGAATAATGTTTTTGTATTTGAAAATTTCATTTCTGATACCTCTATTGCATTTTATTTCTGATACCTCTAGAGCGAGTTCATATTTTTCTAAAATAATATGTCCTAGCTAGAAATAGACGAAATATTCTTTGAAGGTTATGAACATAAAAAAAAGGTTTGACTACTCGAAATCTGTCTCATTTCATACAATATCTAATGGATTGTGCGAAATTTTGGGAATCCAATATAATGACACCGTGCATGACGGCGTATTAGCGAGTGGAAAATCTCTTAGAATTTTTGAAATATCAATATACAGGGTGGTCGCGACGTAATGGGCCAAAATTCATGGGTAGATTACCCAAGTAAAAATATTGCGATTTAGCCGAACTTACCTTAGTCCAAAAGTTGATAGTTAAAGAGATACAGGGTGTTAAATGTAAAATATTATTTCAGTTTTTTTTAATTTATTCCTTAACAAATGCAAATATCCTCACAAAATTTTGGGGATTGGAGTTCGTTGAGTAGAGGAATTGAAATCTGTTCACATTTTGGTTAAAGTTCATAGAGGGCGCTAGCTGCAGTAGATTGAATGTGTTAAAAACGACATAACTTTTTTGTG